GGCCCATCGCCCGCCCCGGCTCCCGCCACCGCCTGGGAACACACAGCCCTGACTTCACGCGGGGTCCCTGCGCTGGGAGCAGCGTGGCATGGCGCGGCGCATCCCGTTGCCCACCCTGAGCTGCAACATCCAGGGATGGGGACCCCCATCCCGCAGAGCCCAACCACCTGCACCACCCCGAGCATCCGCTCTCCCGGTGCTCCCCGTCTCCGTGTCTACCCTGGTTCCTGGCTCCCGGCTGTGGTCCCACTGCTTTCCCTGCCCTGCCTCCACCCCGGCTTGCTCCCGGTTCGTGGTGGGTGGCCTGGCCCCCCGCCCGCTCCCTGCATCGGCTGTGCCGCGGTCGAGGACTGAGCTGCACCCAGTCACGGGGCAAATCTGCTGCCGGTGCAGGAGGTTTGCCCGCTCCCCTTCCCTCCCTGCCGCTGCCTGTGGGACCCCTTGTCCCTGCTGTGAACACCAGACTGTGCCTTGTGTCCGTAGGTGTGATGAGGACCCCACACACAAGGGATGGCACTGGCTGCTGTGGGCTGTGCTGGCCCAGGACCAGCCCTGTCACCATGCCCATCGGTCCTGGCAGGACTGGTCCCCTCTCTGGGCCTTTGGGGGCTCCCAAGCCCTGTCCCACCCCTCAGCCAGGAGCATGGGATCGCGCTACGGCTGTTCCCACAGGTGCCAGCCCCATGCCCCCACTTCTCCATCCCCAGTGGGTGCCTCCATGGGGTCCTGGAATGGGAAAGGAGGGGCCTGGGGATGCCAAACCGGGCTGGGGGGGGGTCCCCCACCCTGGGGTTGAGGCACCAGGACATGCCAGTGCCCGTGCATCCCTGTGCCACAGCCGTGCACACGCAGGGCTGTGTCCGGGAACTGACCCCCTGGAGTGGCTCAGGGCCTCAGGAGTGTCCGGGGACAACAGCCCAGCCAGGAGCCCTATGGGCCACCCCATGGCAGGGCCCTGCAGCCCCCAGGACATGTCAGGGCCAGGGCGGCGTGCGGCTCCCGGGGCCAGGCAGGAAGGAGACGTCACCGCCGCAGAGCGTAACTCAAACCAGATGGGGCCGTGCTGGCGTCCAGGCCCGCAGGGTGGTCACCGACAGGAACCGGTCAAAGGCTGCCGGCAGGAAGCGGCTGGGAGGGCCCCCCGCGGCGGGAGCCGGCGTCCGGGTCCAGGCAGCCTTAACTGCTTCAGGGCTGACTGCAGCCCCACCGGGCAGAGGGGCACTGCCACCCCCCCAAGCCCTTGCCTGGGCATCCCACACCACTTGGGCAGATGCTGAAGCCATGAGGACACCTCTGATTATCCATCCATCCATCCATCCATCCACCCCTCCATCTCCCTTTCCCCCAGCACCCTGGGGTGCTCAGAGCCGGTTGCTGCTGCACAGCCACGGGGTGCAGAGACAGGACCCCCCTTCCGCCGTGGGCTGCACAGCCCTGCCTGGAACTCACCAGGCAGTCCCCATCCCCAGCATAGCCATGGCCCCTCTCTGTACCCTCTACCCTGGGGACGAGACATCACTTCCCGTCCTCTCCTTGCTTATCTGCAGCCCTCAGACTGCGGCTGCACAGCCCACGCAGGCGGGAGCAGTGGCCCGGGGAGGGGGGCTGGAGCGGCCCCCCCGGAGAAGCAGGGCAGACATGGGCTGCGGGCAGACCTGTACATTTATTTACAAGAAGGCAAGAGCCGGGCAGGACTCCAGCATTAGGCAGGGCCCCATGAACCGTGTCCCCTGCCCGGTGGAGATGAGCCCAAAGCCCCTTCACCTGCTGCAGCCGGTGGGGTTGGGGGGGCTGGTGCCTCCCCCTGTCTCTCCCCGGGGTGTTTTCAGCAGGCGCAGAGGGCACAGGCAGCCCCGGAGCAAACACACAGCCCTGGCTTTGGGGTGCTCGGCCACGGTGAAAGCCAAAGCTGGAGGGCAGGGGGAGCCTGGGACCTCCCTTCCAGCCCCTCATCCCCTCCCGCAGTGGGCAAGGCTGGAAGCGGCAAAGCCCGGGGTATGCCCATCCTCTGGAGGCACCGGGGAGCCCCGAGGGGCGCAGGCAGAGGGGAAGGGGTACGGGGCAAGGCGGGGGGAGTGGGGGCAGCACCCGCCTCCCCCAGGCTGGCCGGTCCCGGGGAGCCCCCGCACACAGCGGGGGGAGCTGGCGGCCGTAGCCGCCGACCGGCAGTTCCTGTGTGTTGGTGGTCGGGGCTGGAGCGATGCTCGCGGGAGCGGGGGTGCGCGGTCCAGCTGCTCTGCATTAGGACGCCTCGCTCATCTTGATCTGGCGGGGACGGGTGAAGCAGAGGTTGTGTTTTTCCCCCGCTGGCAGAGCTGAAGGGCAGGGAGGGCAAGAGGAACACAAAGACTCCTTCTTCCCTCGCTGGCTCCCAGCTGGGGATGCTGCTGGAAGCGTGTTCACCGCTTCCTCCCTTCCTGTGCGAGCAGCAGCTCGGGGCCAGCTCCGCTCCCGCACACCCGGCTGGCCAGGGAGGAGGAGCTTTGGCCCTGGCTCCGGTGCCATAAGTGCCAGGGTGAGGGTCCACGGCTGCCCTCCAACATCCCCATGCCAGGAAGGGAGGTTGGGCAGTTGGGGGTCCGGCAACAGCGAAAGCAGGGCAGGGCTGCAGCATTTACAGGCAGAACACGCCAAGTCTTGGGTCCAAAAGTAGCAGCAAGTGCGCAGGGTGGCCCAGGCTGCGGGGCTCATGCTGGGCCAGCCTTTCTCCTCCGAGGCCATGGGAAGGAAGCACGAACGGAGCAGAGGTGCTGCGGGTCGGGCACTGCGCAGCTGGGCCAGGGATGAGATCAGAAACCACCGCTCAGGAACGGCCTCACAGTCCAAGGAAATCCATATGGGAGTATTGGCTGGATGGGAACGGGAAGGGCTGGAGCCCTGAGTGCCCAGGAGGGTGATGCTGACATCCTCAGCAGCGGGGGCCTGGCGCAGCAATGCTGCCCAGGGCGGGATGAGCTCCTGGGCACAGTGGTGAGTGCAGGTGAGGAGCCCGGTGGGGTCCTGGTCCCCGAGCAGTCTCGCAGCCGCTGGGTACCAGGGCAGGGTGGCAGCCCCAGGGGACTCAGCGGAGAAGGACCCATGGCAGCGCTGGTGGCGTGGAGCAGGGGTGCAGCACATGCTGCAGGGGCCAGAGCAGCTGTCTGGCAGCAGCACGGGCAGGGAGTGGGCTGCACAGCTCCAGCCTCTACCCTTGTGGTGGGAAGTGGGCAGGGGCCCATGCCAGTGAGGTCCTGCTGCCATCCAGAAGCAAGACTGACGAGGGACTTGGGCACGGCCCCAAGAGGGGGCTCGGCAGCCCCAGAGCCCCCTCTCAAGCGGTTCCTCTCTGGCCTCAACTCACACGTGGCTCAGGCTCCCCTGGGAGCCCCTGCTCAGACACCCAGCGCTGTCAGCGATCCCGAGCTGGTGATCTTCTTGAAGCGGTTGGCAGCACACACCCCAATGAAGTTTTTCTGTGAAAGGGAAAGAAGAGAGATGCTCATCCTACCATGAGGGCTGTGGCTCTGCAGGCTGAGCCAGAATTCACTCCCAGAGCTGGTGAGGAGCCATGATGGGGAATTGGCAGCTGCCCGGGCACCCATTTGGCCGGGTTGCATGGGAGGGGAGTGCAGGGCAGGGGAAGGCACAGGGTTGATGGTGGGGGTCATCCCCTATACTCTGCCCCGCTCCCACTCCTGCCCCTAGAAGGTGCTCTTGGGATCAGCTCCAGGGAGACCACAACAATTGCACCTATACTTGAGGGGGGTCCCACCATGAGGCCACCTGCACAAGGATCCTGGTGCTGGGGAGCCCTTCCTCCAGGCTCAGTGGTCCCCAGCCCTTGTGCCCCAGCTACCAGCAGCACAGTGAGACACAGCCATCCCAGATGCCATTCACCAGCATAGGCAGAGGCTGGCAGCCCCCCCTACCAGTTCCCTTACATGGCATTGACCCTCCTCCCCAAGCTGGCCCCACACCCCACACACCTTCCAGCGCCGTCGCATGACGTATTTCTTGAGCAGCACCTGGGACTTGAGGCGGCGGTTGCAACGTTTGGCCTTTTCTGCCAGGTTGTTGAGCCAGGGATGCTGCAGGCACTGGCCAGCACTCATCCGGGCACTGGGGGTGAGAGGAGCCCAGGTCACCCCTGCTTGAGCCCCTCTCCCCCAACCACTCCCTTCTCCAGCTGCTCAAGAGCCCCAAAACCCCAGAAAACTGCAGGGGAGGAACAAACTGGAGGGATGTGCTCAGGGACCAGTGAGGCTGGGCAGGACCCCGAGCCGTCGAGCATGTCCTGCTTGGGGCAGGTGACCCTGGAGGGATGCAGGGCTCTGCTGGGGACAGCCAGCAGCCAGGGCAGGGCCCCATGAGGCTCATTTGGCACAGAACATCGGGGGATACTGCTGGTCCTGGTGCAGAGGGCAGACCGTGGTACCCAGGAGCTGGACACACAGCTCCGGCGATGCCCATCCCAGGACCCTTATGGTTGCTGTTGGCCTCGCACCTCTTCTCCTTGATGATGAGGTTTGAGACGAAGTCCTTGGCCTCATCAGAAACACTCTCGAAGGTCTCCTCATCAAAGTACCAGTTGGCAGCCAGGACATTGTTGAGCGTCTCCGTGTCGTTGTCACCCAAGAATGGGGAGAGACCGCTGAGCCTGGGGGCACAGGGGGGTGAGGAGCTGGGTGCCCTCAGGCTGTGGCACCTCCAAACCCCCCCAGAATAGAGTAAACCCAGCTGGGGCTGCCCCAGGGAGTAAAACAGGGTGGCCCTGAGGGGAGAGGTGGTGTGCGGCTGCTGGCACCACGCTGCGTTCCTGCCTGCAGTTGGGCTGAGCTGTTCCCTGCCCTCACCCGTGTGAACAGACACTCCCTGGCCCTACTCGCTGTCCCCCAGCCCCATCTGCCCATCTCCCCATCCAGCACCCTCCGCCAGCCCACCAAGCAGCCTGGTGCCCAGGTCACATGTACGGCTCGGGGGATGGCTCCGTGCCCAGTTGACCTCTGCCCTGGCACCCCAGCGCTGGCAGTCCCCCCGCAAAACCCTGACGTACAGCATGTAGGTGATGACGCCCATGCTCCACATGTCCGTGGAGTAGGAGACCTGCTCGTAGTTGACCACCTCGGGAGAGAGGAATTCGGGGGTGCCGAAGTTCACCTTCAGCTTCTCCTGTGGGTTGTACCTGCAGCCAGGATGGGTGAGTCAGCAGGAGGGGGACAGGCTGCTCCCAAAAGCTGCTGCCCTGTGCCCAGCAGGCGCTGCCCTCCCATGCCAGCCAGGGAGAGCTGGAGCTGGCAGCCATGGCCAAAGCCACAGCCCAGAGCAGGTTCTGGGGCTCCCAGCATGTCGAGGGCATGCGGGGTTGAAGGGTGGGAGGGGGACAGGGAGGAGGGACAGAGCCGATGGGGGAAGACAGCACCTTCGAGCCAGCCCAAAGTCGATGATCTTCACCATGTGCCCAGTAGCAGCGACACAGAGGATGTTCTCAGGCTGTGGGGACAAGGAGACCATTACCCCACCACCGAGAGGAGAGGTCCCCAGTGCATGGATCTGGCAGCCCACGGGTCCTGTGGCTGACCTGCACCAGAGTGATACTGATGTGCAGGCATCCCTCCCACGGCTGGCCAGTGTGTCTCACGGGCACAGCAGGTCTCAGGCCAGCACACAGCACTCCTCGCTTCACTGGCTGCAAACATCTACTGCCCCACCATGCCCCTGCCTCCCCCATCCCCGCAAGCAACGGCCAGCCCCTGCTGTCACCCCCGGCCCTGCACCTTGAGGTCCAGGTGGAGGACGTGCATGTGGTGCATGAAGCGGATGCCCTCACAGATCTGCCGGACGAACACCATGCAGTCCACCTCCGTCAGGTGGTAGTCATCGTCGATGATCCGCTCGAAGAGCTCGCCGCCCTCCACGCTGCGTGGGGATGGACCACGGGGTCACCTGGGGCTCTCTGCCCCATGCCACCCTCCTGCAGAGCCCCCTGCCCACCCCGGGGATCCCCTGCCCAGCCCCACTGTGGAGATGCTGGTGTAGAGGCTGAGCAGGGCCACAATGGGATGTGTGTGTGCTGGGATTAGACACCCCCCCGAAGGCAGGCATGCGGGGAGGGTAACCCCGGGACATCCCAGCTCCACTGGGTTTTGTAGAGCAGAAGAGCCCCAGCACAGCCCCAGACTCCTGGAGCAAGTGGGCAGGGGAAAAAGGAGCTGTGTGGGAAGGACTTGAGTCATGTCCACCTTAAACGAAGCTGCGATGGAAGGAGATGCTGTCCTGGCCAGGCAGAGCCTGGGGCTGCCTCCAAGCTCAACATGAGATGAGGAGGTGCCCAAGAGGGAATGGGCAATGTGAGGGACATTCACTGGGGCCAACTCCTTCTGCTTGGTGAGGGGCCAGCACATCTGCTCCATCTCTGGAGCATCCCCCATGATGGTGCCCCTCATCCAGGCATCAGGTCCCATGCAGCGCTGCCCTGGCACTCACAACTCCATGAAGAGGATGATCTCTCGGGGTGTCTCAATGGCATCGTAGAGCTGGATGAGGTTGCGGTGGTTCAGCTGGTTCATCACATCGATCTCCAACAGCACCATCTCCTGCAGAAGGAGCCCCGTGGTGGTATGGGGTGTCACCCCTGACCGAGCCACCAGCACTGGGACAGGATGTGTCACAGCACCAGGGACACGTGGGGCATGACACTGCCACCCACCACCTCGGCCATGCCACTTGCTGGTAGCACCATGGCCAGGAGGAGCCCCCCGCCCCGGCATCGGTCAGACCTTGTCTTTGGCGCCCTGCTTCCGGATCATTTTTGCCGCCAGCTTGAGCCCCGTCTGCTTCTCTGTACATGTGTGAACTTCCCCGAACTTGCCCCTGGGGAGGAACAGATGGAGAGATGTCAATGCCATCAGCCACTCAGGCTACTGGGGACCCCCACACTGCTCCAGGATGCTGCCTCATGCTCCCCTCTGCACCCATCCTGCCTGAGGCACCAACACATCGTGGCCAGAGAAGTCCCATCGACCCAGGACCATTGCCCAAGCCTGGACAACAGCTTGGGGCAGTGCTGGGGGAAAGCTGGGCATCCATCCTTACCCTCCCAGGATCTCCTTGGAGCTGAGGTTGTACTGGGAGCTGACACTGGCAGACCGTAGAGTGACGACACGGTGCGCGAAAGGTGCGGGTGGCGGAGGGACATCATCTGCCCAGAGAGAAGGGCTGGGATGAGAAGGGGAGCTGCCCAGCCAGGGCACCCCACCGCTGGGCACGCCGGGGTGCCCCAGACTGGGAGCGTGCCCTGGTGCAGGGTGAAAACACCCAGCAGCACAGCACAGCCAAGCCTGGGGGCGCAG